TGGAGCATTTCATGTGTCTTCCTTTACCCATTTCAGTGTGCACTGAGTTGGGGGTGAGAGAGAGGAGAAATTGAAAATGGAAAACACAAGGTTTTCGTCTTGATTTAAAAAAAAAATACGTGCAATGTGTCAGTAATTGTGATGTGGTAGTAACACCTAGTCTTTACATTTGAGTTCTTTGTAATTTTTCTACAAACCCTGATAAGTACTGTAGTATAACAAAACATGCCAAGAGCTCATAGGAGGGAATAACTTTGCCTGAATAAGCTGGGAAAGGTTCCCAAGAAAAGTTACCTTTGAATTAACTTTTTAAAATAGTCTTTGTTTCTTATTCATGTTTTAAGGAACTTTAGTGAGTTAGAATTTACATGCAAAAAATCCATATTTTTTGTTGACTGTTTAATGGTTTTTGATAAACATACCTAAGACAAATGTTCGTCACTCCACTCCAGAAGGTTGCTTTAGCCCCTTTACGGTCAATCCCTTACTCCTCCCCAGTAACTACGAATCTGGTTTTTATTACTATAGATTAGTTTTTTTGATTTTACATCTACAGCGTCATATAATGGGATCATGTATTAGGTACTCTTTTATGTGTGGCTTCTTTTGTTCAACATAATTTTAAAAAGTCATCCTTGCCATTGATAAGTAGTTCTTCTATATTGCTGAATAGTATTCCATTATGGATATATTATAGTGAATATGGATTCTGGATTCCGACCCTTCCCTGGGCTTGTTGCCGTTGTTGTGTGTGTTTGTTTAATGACTTTCCTGGATTACTTCTGTTGTCTGTTTTCTTTTTAAAATATTTATTATGCCTGGCTTTCGAGGAATTGCCCCTGTGTCACTGTTATTCATAGTGGTCAACTAATGATTGCTTAAAGGTTTTTCCCAAACACCAGCAAATTAGTGTTCCTCCATTTTCCTGTGGATCTGTTTACGGTTTGAAGAATGTCTTAAAATTTTAGGCAGTTTCAAATTTGACCCATATTCAGCCGGAGACTAGCTTGCAAATGTTCTTTTTGGTGTAGCCTTGCACATGCACACAGCCTTCCTGACTACGGAGGATGAATATCCACTTAAGGCTTTTCTTGGCAGTCTCTTTCCTAGGATCTTCCTGTTAAGATTTCTGGCTAGAGGCCGGGCGCGGTGGCTCACACTTGTAATCCCAGCACTTTGGGAGGCCGAGGCGGGTGGATCGCGAGGTCAAGAGTTCGAGACCATCCTGGACAACATGGTGAAACCCCGCCTCTACTAAAAATACAAAAATTAGGGGCCGGGCGCGGTGGCTCAAGCCTGTAATCCCAGCACTTTGGGAGGCCGAGGCGGGTGGATCACGAGGTCAAGAGATCGAGACCATCCTGGTAAACATGGTGAAACCCCGTCTCTACTAAAAATACAAAATATTAGCTGGGCATGGTGGCGCGTGCCTGTAATCCCAGCTACTCAGGAGGCTGAGGCCGGAGAATTGCCTGAACCCAGGAGGCGGAGGTTGCGGTGAGCCGAGATCGCGCCATTGCACTCCAGCCTGGGTAACATGAGTGAAACTCCGTCTCAAAAAAAAAAAAAAAGATTTCTGGCTAGTTTGCCATTTGGTTGCTTGCCCCCATCAATGTCACTTAGATAATGATCCTCCTGATGCCAGCCACTGAAAACACTCTTGTTTTCAACAACATTCCTGGGTATAGATTTTTCTATGCTTTGTTCCAAATAAGGTCAGTCACCTCTTGCAGGAAAAGATAGCTACCACTCCTTATTATCACTTAGATAATGATCCTCCTGATGCCTGCCACTGAAAACACTCTTGTTTTCAACAACATTCCTGGGTATAGATTTTTCTGTGCTTTGTTCCAAATAAGGTCAGTCACCTCTTGCAGGAAAAGATAGCTATCACTCCTTATGGGCTGCCATGTTTGCCTACAGTAGAGCATTTATGCCATAAACCTGGCAGTATAGATGGAAATAGGAACAGCCCCTAGCTGAAATACATAGTTCTTTCTTATTGATATTCAGTAGACTTTTCTTCAATAAATGGTTCTCACTTTGTTGTATGTCCTTTGATGAGTTTTTGGAGGCTTTGGTGGTTAGTTTTGACAATCTTGTCTTTTTTTCATTGCTTTTACTGGAGAGAATTTGCTGAACTCACAGAATCTATTTGGAAGACCTGGACTCTTAGGATTCTTATAAGATTTCCTCTAGTTTTTTCCCTCACTGCAGCCATTTTTTTCTCCCTCCTAAAAACACAAAGTCAGTCATTTCACCTGCAATTTTATTTTATTATTATTATTTTTTATTTAAAAAAATAGAGACAGTGTCTTGCTGTGTTGCCCAGGCTGTTCTTGAACTCCTGGACTAAGACAATCCTGCCTCAGCCTCCCAAGGTGCGAGGATTACAGGCATGAGTCACCATACCTGCTCATCACCTCCAATTTTAAAAGTCTTGAAGTGCCTTTATGTTGTTCTCAGAATAAAAATGAAAATATGGTGTGGTCTGCCTTTCTAGATACAGTTGTGTGTCGCTTAACAATAGGGACACATCATGAGAAATGTTGAGTGATTTCATCATTGTGTGAACATAGAGTGTTACACAAACCTAGATGGTACAGCCTACTATACACCTAGGCTATGTCAGATAGGTTATTGCTCCTGGGCTATGAACCTGTACAGCATGCTGCTATACTGAATGTGGTGGCAATTGTAACACATTGGTATTCGTGTATCTAAACATAGAAAATGTATAGTCACAATACAGTATGGTAGTTTTATAAGACCACCATTTTTTATATGGTTTATTGTTGACCACATTGTTATACAGCTCATGGCTACAGTTTTATTCTATTAGTCTAGTCCATATCCCTCATTCTGGATAGTATCCAACCATTGTCCTCAATTTAGGGAGCATTTTGCTTTCTATTCCTTAAGAAAAATCAAGACTCTGACCTATGACATAAACATTGACTTTAGAATTTAAGAGATGTAGGTTTGAATTTCTGTTCTTCATTTATTAGCAGTGTGACTTTGAGTGATGTGCTTACATTTCTGTTTTCTCATCAAAATGTGGTAATGAACAAATGATATTTTGTAAGGTTGCTTAAAGGCTTAAGTAAGATAATGTATGTAAAGCTATTAGCACAGCACCTTGTATCTAGAAGGATTATTTATTCCCCTACATGATACTCTCCTCTCATCATTTCTTTGAGTAAGCAGTTCTAATGAAATAGTGGAGATATCAATATGCATAAGTAGATTCATTTCAGTATTACTGTTTCACCAATTACCTAAGTAAAAGTTATGTCTGAATTTCAGTTGGGTTCAGCACATTTATTGAGTGCCTGATCTGTTTCATAGCACGTGCTCCACATTATCCTTTTTTTTTTTTTTTTTTTTTGGAGGCAGTCGTGCTCTGTTGCTCAGGCTGGATGGAGTGCAGTGACACAATCTCAGCTCACTGCAACCTTCGTCTCCTGGATTCAAGTGATTCTCCTGCCTCAGGCTCCTGAGTAGCTGGGATTATAGGCTCCTGCCACCATGCCTGGCTAATTTTTAGTAGATATGGGGTTTCACTATGTTGGCCAGGCTGGTCTTGAACTCCTGACATGAAGCGATCCACCAGCCTTGGCCTCCCAAAGTGCTAGGATTACAGATGTGATTACAGATGTGAGCCATTGCTCCTGGCCCATCATTAACTTTTGAAAATATGCTTTTAAGTGAAGTATAATGCATTAAGAGTTTTTCTTTTTTGGGATGGAGTTTTGCTCTTGTTGCCCAGGCTGGAGTGCAATGGTGCAATCTTGGCTTACTCCAACCACCGCCTCCCAGGTTCAAATGATTCTCCTGCTTCAGCCTCCTGAGTAGCTGGGATACAGGTGCCCACCACCACACCCAGCTAATTTTTTTTTTTTTTTGTATTTTTTGTAGAGATGGGGTTTCGCCATGTTGGTCAGGCTGGTCTTGAACTTCTGACCTCAGGTAATCCGCCTGCCTTGGCCTCCCAAAGTGCTGAGATTATAGGTGCCTTGGCCTCCCAAAGTGCTGGGAGTACAGGCCTGAGCCACCACACCCGGCCCAACAAAGTTTTTCTTTACATCAAGGAAAAAATTTCTTTTTCTGTAAGGAGACTATTAGACTGTTCATTTTTGATTTTGAAAAATCTTCAAACTTGTGGAATAGAAGCAAAAGTAGTAAAGCAAACTCATATATATCCTAACTGCAACACAATAAGTATATTTAGGAAATTTAACATTAGTATACTGTGACTATGTAATTTGACACTACATTAGTTTTGCCTTTCCTCCCAAATTATGTCTTCATAGCATTTTTTTCTCATGTCATCAGTCCAGGATCATATACTTACTATAGTTATCATGTCTCTTTGCTCTCCTCCAATCTAGATTGGTTCCTCAGCCTCTTTTTTTTTTTTTTTTTTTTTTTTTTTTTTTACTTTTATGACATTGATGTTGTTGAAGGTCAACTGTTGTATAGTGCCTCTCAACTTGAATCACTCTGTTTCCTCATCATTTTATTTGGCGTATGCGTTTTTGGGGGGGCAGGAATAATACGCAAGAGAGATCATATAAAAGACACTATGTTCTATAAAGGTATATCATATGAAGAGGTATATAATGCCAGTTCGTTCCCCTGTTGGTGATGTTAATTTAGAAGACTCAGTTAAGGTGGTATCCACTGACTTTATTTTCTCTAAAGTTATCACTTTCTTCTTTGTTGTTAATAAGTAATCTGTGGGGAGATACATTGCAATGGTGTAAGTATCCTTTTTACCAATACATTTTGATTCAGTAGTTTTGTATCTTTGATGGTACTTGTCTGAATCAGATATTACCAGGGTAGTTACAAATGGTAGATATTAAAATTTCAAAATACAATTTCTAAGGGTTTTAGTTTTGGTGTCCCTGAAATGAGCTTTCTTTAATAGTAATAATTACAGAGTATTTGATTGTTATCTGCTCTGTCATGGCTTTAATTATTTTTATGATGTTTAGGTTCATGTACTGGACAGACTGGGGAGAGGTGCCAAAGATAGAACGTGCTGGAATGGATGGTTCAAGTCGCTTCATTATAGTAAACAGTGAAATTTACTGGCCAAATGGACTGACTGTGGATTATGAAGAACGAAAGCTTTATTGGGCAGATGCAAAACTTAATTTCATCCACAAATCAAATCTGGATGGAACAAATCGGTAAGATTGCTTTATAAGATTTTTAAAAAATTTTTAAGAAAACTCCATGAAGCCTTGGTATAGTAAAAGGACAAGACTTAATTTTATTAAGAAATATGTTTATTTTTTACTAAGTCCCAAAGGAGAAGAATAGTCTTTTAGTTAGCTCTTTAAAAGTGCTTTAAAAGTAATTATCATCCATCTTAATGGCATTTAGAATTTACAGACTGTGTTTATCATCCATCTTAATGGCATTTAGAATTTACAGACTGTGTTTCCTCTTTTCTTATTCTGAGCTAACTTAGTTCTTCAGTGGTTCTCTACCAGGGATAGCATCTTTACTCCTTGTGTTTGGAAACGTGTGGAGAATTTTGTCTAACCCAAGGACTGGGAGCGCTACTAGTATTTTAGTTCCGGGGGTGAGGGGAGGTCCAAGGTTGCTAAACATCCTGCAGTGTGCTGGCCATCAGTACAACAAAGAGTTGTTTCACTCAGAATTACCAGTAATGCCCCCAAGTCCTGCTAATGGAATTTGTTTGATAAATCTCTGCATTAGGACAGGGTTTGGCCAACATTTTCTGTAAAGGCTGAGATAGTAAATATTTTAGGCTTATAATCTCTGGTTCAACTACTTCTGCTAGTGTTGTTTAAAAGCAGCTATAGTAATGCGTAAGGGAATAGGCATGGCTGTGTTCCAGCAAAACTTTATTTATTATGTATTTATTTATTTTAGACAGAGTCTCACTCTGTCACCCAGGCTGGAATACAGTAGTGTGATCCCAGCTCACTGTAACCTCTGTCTCCTGGGCTCAGGCGATCTTCCTGCCTCATCCTCCCCAAGTAGCTTGGGACTATAGGTGCATGCCATCATGCCTGGCTAATTTTTATATTTTTTGTAAAGATGGGGGTCTCACCATGTTGTCCAGGCAGGCCTTGATCTCCTGAGCTCCAAGTGATTCATTGGCCTCGGCCTCTCAAAGTGTTAAAGTTACAGGCATCAGCCACAGCACCTGGTGTAAAGGTTTATTTGTAAAGCACAGTCAGTCTGTGGGGTACAGTTTGCTCATCCCTGGACAAGGAGAAAACCTACTGCAAGTACCATACATTTCAGTGTTCAAGGAAGACAAAGCCTATAATACATAAACATGGAATTTCTTCTCAGATTATGTTCAGATTTTAAAAGGCATTTTATATTTGCATTCCTGTATTTTATGACAATTTTGGTTTTTGGTCACTATCTGAGACCCCACTAGATTAGAGTTTTTGATAATTGAAAGATTTTTTCAAAGTGTAAACATTTGTCAATTCTCTGAACCAGGAATAAGGAACATTTAGAAGTATTGAAAACCAGGAAAAGTTTAAAGAGTTCAGTTAAACTTTTTTGTAATCATGGAGTATTTTTTGCCTTCTTTCAAAAAAGAGTGAAATGACGTACAACAATATGGCTTAAAATAAATTTAAGTGTAAAAATGTAAGTATATGATGAATATAAAAACAAGTGTTGTTTTTTGACCTCAAATCTGGCTGTGAGGGGACTCTAGGAAGATGGATGTGGCCATGTCATAGTTTTCTCGTTTTTGTTTTCGTATTTGTTTTTAACTAAAACTAGGTAGCAAATCCAAAAACATGGATAAAATTGACTATAGCCTTAGGCATTTGAAAGTACAACTAGATAAAGGCAAACCACCAACAGTCGCAAGACCTGTGTTATCAATGTCTATGCAAGAGTAAGCAGAGAGACTTAATAGGGCATCTCCTAAGATTTGAAAGCGGAGGAACGCCAAAATAGCCACAACTATGTGCTGGACAAGATGGTGGGTTATTTTAAGAACAGCAGCTGAAATGGAAGGGTGGGAGGGGTCCCCACTCCAATATTAGGCAAGTGCAGTGTGACCATGGTAAAGACAGAAGAAGCTAGAGCAGTCTAGCCCCAATGAACTCTCAAAATGGAACTACTGAAATGAACCTGCCAGAATGCTCATTCAGGACAAAGCACCACACTGATTAAAACAAAACTGAATAGGTCAGAATAATCAAAGTTGAGCAGGATAGGAGCAGTAGAATAGAGAACAGGAGGGGAAGGAAAGAAGGTTCGGATAAGGATGGGAAGGTCAATGGCTAGTAGATCTCAGAAAGCAAGCTTACAGGTTTTTGAACATTATGTGAAAATAACAGGAGGCATAAATTCTGTGACATTAGAAAAACTACCTTGAAGTCTACTTTATTTTAAAAGTTCAGGAACACTAATTTTACATAGACAAGAGAAACAGAAAAGTGTCAAGGTGAAATCCCATTTAAAGTTATTATAAAGGAAGAAAGAAGGAGGAACAAAATAATGTCCATATAAACAAAAGCACCCCAGAAAAACGTGACCACAGAACAGATCAGTCCTCTATTATAAAATGAGCTGGAGAAGGAGGAGGCTGCCAATCACTTATAAATGACGTGGAAGCAGGACCCAAAGCCTAAATTCCAAGAGGGTGAACAAGTGCTGTGCTTTCATGAGCCTCTTCTTTATGAAGCAAAATGTGTAAAGGTTGCCATAAAGGACAAACAAGTGAAATACTTTATATATTACAGTGGTTGGAATAAAAATTGGGATTCATGGGATCCAGAGAGCAGAGTACTCAAATATATGGATGCCAATTTGCAGAAACAGCGAGAACTTCAAAAAATCAATCAGGAGTAGTATGCAGAGGGGAAGAGGAGGGGGCTGCCCCAAGGAAAGAAGACATCTGGTCTGCAACAGAAAAATTGTTGAAGTGAAAACAAAAAAGAACAAACAAAATACCTGGAAATGGAGATGGTGGCAGTAACAGTGAGATGCTTCAGTCTTCTTGGAAGAAAAGGGCCTGGGTAGATCATACTCTTGAAAATGAGGACACATTCATGAACAGAGTTGAAGCTAAAGTAAAGATTCAGAAGAGCTGAAAATTACCAGACCAAAACAGCTCTTTTATCTTTCTACCAAGAAGAATGTGGATTCTATTCTCTACGATTATGCAAATTACAAGCAATTTCCTGGAAACACAGATAATGAGTATGCTGTTAATGAAGTTGTGGCAGGGATAGTAGAATACTTCAACATTATGTTGGGCACCCAGCTACTTTACATATTTGATGGACCACAGTATGCTGAAATTCTTGCAGATCACCCTCATGCCCCCATGTCCCAGGTGTATAGAATGCCACATCTACTGATGTATGAATTGGAGGAATGTTGGCCTATACACCTCTGGATGAGAATAGCCTTGTTTTATTTTTGTTTTTGTTTTTTGAGACGGAGTCTCACTCTGTCACCAATGCTGGAGTACAGTGGTGCGATCTTGGCTCACCGCAACCTCTGCCTCCCAGGTTCAAGCAATTCTCCTGCCTCAACCTCCTGAGTAGCTGGTATTGCAGGCGCACGCCACCACACCCGGCTGATTTTTGTGTTTTTAGTAGAGATGGGGTTTCACTATGTTGGTTAGACTGATCTCGAACTCCTGGTCTCGTGATGCACCCACCTTGGCCTTCCAAAGTGCTGGGATTACAGGCATGAGCCACCGCCCCCGGCCAAGCCTTGTTTTATCACTGTATATCTTCAGTTTCCTAAAGTACCTGGCAAAAAATTCTGCAGCCTTTTTTAGTGCCGAGCTATTATGAATGGCTCCTCCTGAGTACCATCAGAACGCTGTGTGAATGGCGCCCTCACTCATTTATGTTTGGATCTCTGTAAACACATTTTTGTTCTTAGTCTTTCTCTTGTACAAATGATGTACATTGAAGATGTTATTGTATGAAAATTGATGTTTCTTTTCTGTTTGATTTTAAACAGAGAAAATAAAAGGAGTAATAGCTCCTTTTTTCTTGTCTTACCTTTTTTTTTTTTCATTTCAAAATTGCTGCCAGTGTATTCAACAGTGGAAAACAGAGGCACATGCTGTATTTTATTGCCTAGTTGACAGAGCTGCTTTTGAATGCTGCTGGTTCTATTCCTTTGACCCCTATGTACTTTTATAATATGTGTTCATGCTATATGTCAAAATGCTGTGACTCCTGTTGTCAAAAGTTCAGTTTGGTGTATAACTGAACGCACTCATCCATTTGTGCTCCTTTTTTTAATAGTGCTTAAATAGCCTGTTCTTTGCAAGTCATCCATGTTGTTCCTTAGGCATTTTATCTTTGTTCAATTTGTTGAAGAATGGTGGCTTGTTGCATGGTTTTTATATTTGTGTCTAGTGCACATTTTGACAAGACAGATGCAATATATTGTGTAGCTAGTTTTCTGGAAAAGTCAGTCTTTTAGGACTTGTTTTTCAGATCTCTAATACATTTTTTCTTGAAATTTCAAATGCATAAATGAGTCAGAAGTCATTGAAAGCAACAATATCACATGTGAAAGAACAACATAAGATTAGAAAAATTCAGAAATGATTCATGCCTGTAATCACATAACTTTGGGAGGCTGAGGCAGGTGGATCACCTGAGGTCAGGAGTTCGAGACCAGGCTGGCCAACATGGTGAAACCCCATCTCTACTAAAAATACAAAAATTTGCTGGGTATGGTGGTGCACACCTGTAATCCCAGCTACTCAGGATGCTGAGGCAGTAGAATCACTTGAATCCAGGAGGTGGCGGTTGCAGTGAGCCAAGATGCACCATTGCACTCCAGCCTAGGCGACAAGAGCAAAACTCCCTCTCAAAAAAAAAAAAAAAAATCAGAACTGTAATGATAGAAGAATTAAAAGAAAAAAAATCACTTCAGAAAAGAAAACTAGAAGAGACACAAAGTCGAATAAACCAAAAGGCCTTTAAATAGAGGTTGAAAGGAGGAAAATATTTGAAGACCAAAAAGAAATACAGAAAGACAAAGATTTGAGAGAAAATGACAAATATTGAAGATAAGCAAAGAAGAAACAACATACAGATGATAAGACTCTAAAAAGAAAAGCAAAAGAGTAGAACAGCTATGAACAACTGTAGGAAAAGTTTCTTAAAAGAAGATTTGTGACCAGGCACAATGTCTCACACCTATAATC